CTTTAGAAGTTGTACAGGGCTGGAGTAACAGCCAAAATGGAGTGCTACCGGTCATCGTGTGTGGTGATTTTAATTCAACACCGGAATCAGCGGTTTATGAACTCCTCACGACTGGTCGGCTGAGCCCCTCCTCCATACCGGTAGGCCATAGAAAAATTATATTTTTTATTTCTATTTTTTTGTTTTTATTATTTTTCCAGGATGACCCTTATGGTATACTTCCACCGGTAAACCAGATGCACCACTCGTTGCCATTGCGTTCGATATATCCGGCTGTAGTTAATAGTGAAGCTACTTATACGAATTACACGCAGAAGTTTCAGGGTAATCGAAAGGTCCCCGGTTCGATCCCGGCACGTGACATTTTTAGGTACGCTGGATTATATATGCTTTACTCAAAATTCTCTTCGAGGGCTGGCAGTGTCTAACACATACAGTTATGAGGAGCTGAGTGCTGAGACGGCGCTGCCGAGCCCAACACAACCTAGTGATCATATACTAACCGTTGGTGTGTTCGCGTATACGTAGTGATACCAGAACTTACGGAACTCCTCTGAAAATGGAGGATGTGACTTTATGTGGTAAGTAGTTGTATATGTGCAGGCGTGCAGATTTGGTATTTTTCCCAGGCCGCCAAATTTCGCCAAATGTGTGATGTATAATATAACGGCCGCTATGAGGTGTCATGGTTGGAGCCCCATCTCCCATAGTATAATTTTGTGGCGCAGTGACGGATCCAAAGAATGAACAGAATGTCTCTGGCGTATTGGCTCTTCGAAGCAGTTGATATGTTTCTGCTAGCGCTGCGTACCGTATTATTGTATCATTTTCATCGTACATATATTTCTTCGGTCAATGTTTATGGGTTGAAATAGTGTAGTAGGGGATGATCGCGTGCTGTCCATCGGATGGTCGTGAGTTCTATCCCCGCACGTTGCAAATGTATGATCCCTTAACATTGCTCAATCCATTGGAGAGTTAGATATCCAACGACTCACTTAGCATCCTTGGCATATTCCCTTCATACCAACTAGGTGTCTCTCACCTGGTATTAAATTCTTCAACGCTATATTGGAGTTGGGTTAACGGGTGCATACCATGGGGGGAAAATTAGGTGTATGATTTTTCAATGCTTCTAGACTTATATCATTTGACTCTGTGGATTTCACTGTAGCAGATGTTAGAATGATGCTATTATCGATTTTATTAAAAACGTGCGAAAATGCAGGCGTACCTTGTGGGTGCGGAGGCATTTGGTTATAGAGCAGATAGCAGCGTTAGAAGGAGATATAGTGTGTCTGCAGGTGACGAGGGTGGGGATTGAACCTGGCTCGTTATCATCATCATCGTTGGTAATGCTGAATTATAGTAGCAAAATATACGCGGTTTTGAATCTTGTGGTTTATCCAGTTTGTCTGTATTCCTTATGAATCGTCGTTTATGCGGCGCAGTGGGCTGATGAAAACAGCAGCAGTTATAGTGAGAAGAGCTCGACGAGGGCAGGAGGGTAGTAGTCCTTGGGAGGAAGTGGCGACCACTTGGAATGTGTCTGTGTTGGGGTATAGGTGCAGTCTCTTCAGCTGAGGTTGGGAGTCCTTTCAGTAGTTATATAAGTAGGGATAGAAAATCAACAAGTATTTCCTCAGAATTTTCATATTGTAATCAGCGAATCATCCAGGAACCTATAATGTTCTCGGGGGGAGCTCATTTTGAATTTTCCACGGATGGCTAGGGAGACATTTCGAAAAACATTCTCCCATGTGAATGTCACCAGCGCATTAGGAACCTTTCCTTCCCTATTGTTGTTGAACCTTGGGGGATGTTACTTCTCAAAGGTAAATGAGATCCTGTTTATGACCGACACATGTAGTTGACAATATGCATATTTCCCTATAGTGGTAGTGACAGTTGAATATACAATATGCGGCTTTATACTGTTGTTGTTATTATTATGTTTCGAAAAGCGGCAGTACACGGGTGTTCGTAGGCACCCTTGCCTTGACGATTTCCACTGTGTGTGAGAGAGAGAGTTTATAGTTCAACGCCTAGGGCTTAGTTGGACTCGCATCGTTAGACGTTAGTTCACGAGGGATCACTCGTTTTACTCTATTATTTATTTTCTAGTCAATCAGTGGAGTTTTACGTGAAGTGGCGTAAAACTCTATGAAAAACGCGATTTTCGCGGCCTGTAGTAGTCGTGAAATATGTTTTTCACTAGTGTTTTTCATTGTATCACTAGGGTGGTGAAACTTCAATGAAAGCGTTTCAGGATGGACGAAAATTGCATCCCGTAGCTTGAGTGAGGTCCCAGCTGAGTCAACGACAGCGTCGTCGATAGCAATAAGGGGTAAAAATCGCTCACCTTGTTACGCGAGGAGGCGTTTGTCAGATTGCAATGGTGATAGTGGTAGTAGGAAGCTGGTTGAAAAGACAGTATTAAACGGGTTTGGGAAATTAAATGGAAATGGTCAAAGCATGTTACGAGAGATTGAGCTGCTGTGTGGGAGAGTGAAGGATAAAGGCGGCAAGATGGCAGACTTTGTAGAGCAGCTGCACTCAAGGGGGCTTCGGGAGGATATGCTGAGTAAGTGTGAATGTCTTTTTACCAGTTTGTTGTTATTGCGTGGTGGAGTAATGGATACTTATAGACGCATTTAGTCTCATTTTCTACCGTGTATAGTTTCCGAATTGAACAATTTTTGCCGTGGTAGAGCTGTTAGTTTTTCCAAGTGGAGGAATGGGTGATTTTCTGATCACAAACACGATAGGTAGTTTTTGTAGGTTATGTTTTCCTAGGTAGAAGTAGTTATTTTTTTTTCGTATATAT